GAAGATCGCTCCACCAATCCTGTAAAATGAAAGAGTGAACTAAGATATTAATGATGACATTTAAAAAAACTAATAAAACTGTAGAAACAAATGGAACCACCACATATACCTTGAATTGTAGATACAAAACAAAACGTAAATTACAGACAGATGGCAAGAGTTTCCTGCACATCCATCAATTACCATACTAACAAAATTACAGAAGTTAGCAAATAGGAAGCAGGAAATTACCCCATGAAGGAAGCCATTATGATTTTTTCTGAGAGCTTCATTGTTGCTATTCAGCTTCTCTGCAAGAATTGACAGGCAGATATCCATATGTGATGAAAGAGAGGCTAATTTTCATTTTGATAAAATATTAATGAAGTGCTTAATACGACCGGATGTCATCTATTATCCTGAACACATTGAAAGCAGGCCACAGAAACAAATATAGAAGCCAGATATTCCTCCTAGTATCAGAACAGGAGCAGGTGAAATATTTCCGTAACTTTTAGTCAATTGCAGACACTGTATGCAAATTCAACATATAATGCAGAACAGCCAATTGATCTACTGAATCAACACTATCACAGTATAAATTAATATGCAATTTACTTTTATCAGAAACACATCCAACTGCACGATAGCTCAATTCAAAGATTCCTCTGGATGCCTAGACAGCTGCATATCAAAATACTAGTGGCTCCACATAAAAGAGATCCTTTAATTTTGTAACTACCGAAAGATAAAACATCGATAGTTGTTACATTCTATCCAGAGTGAGGGGAAACAAAAGGTACCTCCAGGAACAGTATTATAATCTGTGTTCTCATCACTTGAGCAATCATCGGCAAGAAAATTCTCAACAGCATCCTCAGGCTTACTACAGGCTCTGTTTTCTCGCATCAGTTGCAAAATCCCAGGATGGTTCCATATCTATATTCAGTATTAGTCGACAGAATCAAAGAGAGGAGTTAAGCATTAGACACATACCCAGAGTCCTAGCCCACACATCCCACCAACAAACACACACATACATTTATATATTTATCTGTGTCTGTGCGCGCACATATAACCAAACCTATCAATGCATATATAGAAGACCCACTGCCGCTAAGTAACCAAAAACACCAAAAAGTTCAATTTTCAAACAAACTCTATATTGTTTATTTTACAAAATGATGGATGTTTTTTTTTGATGACCGAGAAATCCATCTGGAGCTGATCCTTTAGACCAACCACAGCCTTACAAAATGATGGATGTTCATCATCAAGGCTTCCAATATGATGGATGTTTATCATCGAGGCTTCTCATTACCAGAAACAGAGTAGAAAAAGAAATTTCTATTTATTTCCTTTTCTTTTCTGATAAAAAACGAACAAGAAAACATGATGACCGCTGCTAAAAACCAACAATCAATAAACTACAGCTCGATCCCAAAAATAGTTAAAGTTGGCTATATTAATCCTAGGTATTCCTCCGCTTTATCCTGGTCCGACTATCTGCTCAGGTTTCATAGAATTCACCATGGTAAACCTACTTTCATGTCGGTCGTATATGTATTACAAGAAACAAAAAGAACAAAAAGGAACTTCTATTATTTCTTTTTTCTTTTTTGATAAATAAGAAATTCTATTTACAAAGAGTGTTGAAAACATACAACAACAACATACCCAGTATAATCTCACATGTGGGATCTGGGGAGGGTAGTGAGTACGGACCTTACCCCTACCTTGAGAGGTAGAGAGGATGTTTCCAATAGACCCTCGGCTCAAGAAAACGTGGAAAGAGTGTTGAAAACATAATAGAGTAAATAAAAGTATGCTCTCTCTAACGGCTTAAGCTTTTAGATGAGATGGTCACAAACTTCAACAAGTTCAGAGCAAACCCATCCATGTTATTGTGTGTCACATGTTGGGCCTCCATGTTATGTTGTCTATGCTCCAATTGGAAGGCCTAACCATGCCGCAGTGTTAAATGTCCCATATTAGTTGAGAGATAGGTTGTTGCCTCCTAATATGGTCTTTGGGCAATCCTCACCTCATAGGCTAACGTTTGAGGTTGAGTTAGGCTCAAGTTCCATTTCGTGACATGGTATCAGAGTAAGCAGAGGTTCTAGATTCGAGACTTACTACCACCCATTATCAAAAAGAATTATAATGCGCTTGACTCATCAAAAAGAATCAAGCTGGCACATGAAAGGGCATATTTAAGATACAATTAAGTAAATAAAAGTATGGTTGATGCAACAGCTAAGCTTTTAGATGAGATGGCGACACATTTCAACAAAAAGAAATGAAGCTAAAAAGCAACAATCAATCAACTACTGCTCAATCCCCAAATAGTTGCGATTGGCCATATAAATCCTAGGAATTACTCTGCTTTATCCAGGTCCTCTTACTCAAGATTTAGAGAACTCATCAAGAATAAATAGGTTTCATGCTAACCTTCAACTTACCACAACTATCCAGTTATCCTAGTTGCGATCATCATCACAAGCATACACTGCGCTTGCATGGAGAATTACTAGATTTTATAGGAAATCTACACCGTTGAGTTATGTATTTTTTACGTCTTTACCAGGTTAGTGTGGGGTAGTTAACGTTAAAATCTAAGCATCTTTAACAAGGCCTTCTTAGGAAAGTAGCTTTGGAGATTTGAACAGAGGAGCATGCAACGGACAAATATGGTACCATAGAAGGGGAGGGAGAACCAAGAAAATCATTGCTCCTATTGGATACAGCAACCGAAGAATATTACGAAGTGACGAGAAGAGTTTAGTAGAAGTATCTCGTTTAGGATGGGGCACGAGGGAAAGCTTAGTTTCATGGGAGGAGAGATCGTGTGGCGACAAAGTGTTGAAGGTCACTTTTCCGAACACCTATAGAATTTCGTGCCCAGAGGATATTATTGTCCAACAAGTTCAGAGATTACTAGTAGAGAGCCGAGATTCCTGCAGATGGGAGTTACAGCAAAAAGTTACCGATGAAAGTTACTAGCTAGAGAGAAGTTGATTTTTCCTTGTTTGTCGGTATTGATGCCTAGAGAGGCAACAAAGGTGTGCCTATTTTCTGGGTTGGAGGCTAAGGTTGCAACTCAAAAAGCAGAGAACTTGAGAAAGAGGAGAATCATATATGTCAATTGGTGCTTCATGAGATAACACTCGCGAAAGTACGGGGATCATCTCTTACTGCATTTCCAGGTAACATCGCCCCTATCATAGGAGCTTTTATGATGGTTTGAATACAATAGACAATGACAAAGTATGGTGAATGATGCACTATTTGGTTGGACCTTAGAGGATGAGGTGAACACGTCGATTGTGGGTATGTTACTCCAGTAACACTTATGTGGGTAGCATGGCGAGAGAGGATTTGGAGAGTTTCAGAAGGGAATGAGCTTAATTTGCACATCTAAGGAATAGCCTCTTGTTTTCATTGTATTTTTGGTGCATCCATGAGGTTCCTATTTGTATATAAGATTGGATGTCTTTCGAACAGAATCTTATCTTGCTATAGATTCTCTACTTTTGGTAAACCTCTTGTATACAGGAGCATTCTCACTATGAATATAATTCACTTTATTAAAAAAGGTAGTAGTTATCTTTATTGAGTTATTTTATATTCTGATTGTGTTGAACAAGAAATACATTTATGAAATCAAGTGATCCTACTTTGTCTAGACGAGATTCCATCTTACATAACGAGCCTCTGAGATGAATAGTGATCAAGATTCTTAAAAACTTTTGACTTATCCAGTAAAGATTTGTAACGTATGATAAATATTCAGAGAAGTTATCATTTAGCCTGGCAGCCAGGGTCCACAGCAAACGGAATGACAATGTTCTATCTTTCCAGTGACAAAGTAACATTTCCAGTATTTTAAAACAATCTTCAGCACAAAGATTATGCTGGAAGCCAAAAGGGTGTTTACAACTAAAGGCTAATTATTACGATCCTCGCTCTTCTTACAAGGAACCTAAAACTTGTAAAATTGATTCCTCCACCTTTGTCTTTGTGAAAGGCGATCCAACCAATTTACCTTTAGATAGAAAAATTATCTGAATTGACCTCAGAATTTCGTTTTACGGTATTCAGTTAAAATTAAGAATCTGCAAATATAGTAAATAGAACAACACTAACATGAGCAATAGCACTATTGTCTAAGGCGCGCTTAAGCCCTAAAGCGAGGCTCAAAACATGTTGAGCGCTTCGCATTGCTTAGTGGGCGTTTTAGCCTTGTCATCAAGGCTCTAAGGCATGCTTTTTTTTTATGTAACTGCGTTTCCGTAATCGTGAAGAGGCAAACCTAAATAATTGATATTTCACTTTATTGTAGAAAACTTTAATTTATTTATCTATATATTTGTTATTCATGCTTATAATTATTAGTCTTGGACTACACATGCATATTTGTATTTTTCTGTATTTGCGCCTTACTTCATTAAAAACACAACTCTATTTGGGCTTTGCGCTTAAAGCCCTGATGTACCTTGGAGCTTTTTTGCACTTTTTGCTTTTGATAACACTGAGCAATAAGCATATATTAATATTGCTAGAAGAGATGTTGACTTTTTTTGATACGGTAAAACTGTCCCCCGTCCCCCAGCCAACTCCCAAAATCCCATCTGAACCAGGTGCCTGGTAGTGGCCCTTTCCACCACTTTGTTTCCATGGTGACTCGAAACTCCAATCATATGGTTGAAGGTAGAGGGTCCTCAAAATTAGACTACCCTCCATCATCAATAAATGCATTAAACAACGCCAGCTTAACACATCTCCCAGGGATCTTCCTGCTTTAACTTTCTTTTTTCCTCCATTGTGGCACAATGATGGATAAGTATGTGATAGTGGCTCTGTGTCCAGCTCTCCCAATGGAAAAAGGTTGGTACTATCACTTGCAGCTTTTTACCGGTAGGTTGAACTTTTGGACTTTTAATATACATTATTTCATCCAAAATAATGTATTGATTGACGAGACGCGAAACGGTGTGAACGCGCAATTAGAGTTACGGAGGCAGACCTTGGAATCTAAAGGTTTCAAGTTTAGCAGGACCAAGACAGAATACTTGGAGTGTAAGTTAGTGGCGAGACTCAAGGAGGGGAAGGGGAGGTTAGGCTGGACTCGCAGGTCATCCCTAGGAAAAGGAAGTTTTAAGTACCTAAGGTCTTATTATTCAGGGGGATGGGGAGATTGATGAAGATGTCACATATCATATTGGGCCGAGATGGATGAAATGGAGACTCGCTTCCGATTTTTTATGCGACAAGAAGGTGTCATTGAAACTTAAGGGTAAGTTCTACAGAGTGATGGTCAGACCAACGATGTTGTATTGGGCTGAGTGTTGGCCAATCAAGATCACTCATGTCCAAAAGCTGAAGGTAGCAGAGATGAGAATGTTGAGATGGATGTGCGGGCACACTAAGTTAGATAGGATTAGAAATGAGGTTATTCGCGAGAAGGTGGGTGTGGCCCTTATTGAGGACAAGATGCAGAAAGCGTGGCTTAGGTGGTTTGGTCATGTGAGGAGGAGGAGCACAGACGCCTCGATGAGGAGGTGTGAAAGGTTGACATTGGAGGGCCTACGCAAAGGTAGACGTAGGCCAAAGAAGAGGTGGAGAGAGGTGATTAGGCAAGACATGGCGCAACTTCAGCCGACCGAGGACATTACCCTTGGTAGGAAGGTATGGAGGTCGAGGATTAGGGTAGTAGAGTAGGTAGTCTAGAGTGTTTATAACATTAGTATTGGCATGCAGTCTCGCTTTCTGTTGGTAGTAAGTTTTTATGACTAACCGTTGTTTTATTTCATTGTTGATCACCTTGTAATCTTGTTTTTATTCTGCTTTTATAGAACTTTTTGGTATTGTTCCTTCTTGTTTATATTTTCATTAATGTGATGCTTATACTTTCCTGAGTCGAGGATCTATTGGAAACAGCCTCTCTATCCTCACAAGGTAGGGGTAAGGTCTGCGTACACACTACCCTCCCCGGACCCCACGTTGTAGGATAATACTGGCCATGTTGTTATTGTTGTTGTATTTCATCCAAAAGAACCAGTAAATTAAGAAACATATAAATAAGAAAGTACCTGAGCCAAGGCTTGATACCCGGCAAAAAAGGATCTTTTCATTATCTTCTCACCGGAGACCTTGTCCTTTGTGAAGCCATGAACATCTAGAAATCTTTTATACAATTTTCGCTGTAGAGGAGAAAGCTTTACAGACATCACAAAGACAGTTTTTGGCGGCAAATCCATCTTTACGACATTCATGTCCATTCTTTGAACAAATCCTTTCAATTGCTCATAGAGAATATGAGACCGCTGATTCATAATCTTAACATCGTCAGCTGTAGAATTGGTGTGTTGACCATTTTCTATCGGATTCTGAAAGCTGCATCAGGGAGTAATATCATCAAAACACATACAGAGGAAAGTGAAAAAGTGCAGTGAAAAGAAAAGACGCCTTGCCGGTTTCTAAATTCATGACTGCTGCCAAGAAATCCTTCTCTTACAAAATCAACCATCTGTCATGACATCAAAATAATGAGACTACATTCCATATAAACGTCTGTACCAAATATAATAGCTTCATTATTGCCTTACACAGTAGTACTCCATCAAATTGTTTTGAAGAGGAGATCCAGTTAATGCAATCCTTCTCTGGCACTTGACTTGTTTCAAGGCTTGAGTTACATCAGCTCTGGTATTCTTGATAATATGAGCCTCATCACAAACAAGTATATCAGGCCCGTCCTGACAAATGGAAGATATTTTAACAATGAATTCAGAAAATAGGTAATGAGCTAAGTTGCTCTAACACGGCAGTTTAGGTGCCGCACCCGTGTCGATATGGGATTCGTACTAGATCTGGTCAAACAATTTTGGATAGTTTGACCACTATGGAGGGCAGAATTCGAGACGAGATACAATTTGATTCCCGAAATCAGAACCAAAACTAGGGTAAATTTGAAGAAAATAGCGTACCTTACCTAGGAAATCAATCCTTTACTTATCTACAACTTGAGAATAAAAAAGAAATCCACACTTTACAAGCTATACGCAAGTATACAAAATTTCTCATAATTTAGAGATACTTTTATTTTTTTGAATAATTTTTAGCTGGATCCCCGCACCCGTATCCATACTAGGATCCGTATTCCAGAGTCTTAGAAATTACATCTCGAAGGATCCGACCCCGCACCCGTGCCGGACATCTGCACCCGTGTAAGAGCAACTTAGGTCATGAGATGAGAAAAAATTTAGCATCAACTAGAAGTTCAACCAAAAAAGGAAAAGAAAGTTCCACCAAAGGAATAAAAAAAAAAGAATGGAATGGAATGGAGAGGACTATAAAACTGTAACACTAAGAGCATGGAGGAGCATTCACAAATCCAAGTCAATAAACCTTAAGAATCAACTACATTCATTTCAAACAGCAAAAGAAGAATCCAATGCTCTGCTTTGGGTGCTTTCTACTTCCAAAGTACCGGTAGGAGTTTATTTTGCATTACCAACATTTCAAATTCAAGTGGGTTAATTGAGAATAAAATATTGTATGCTTGACTTCAACTAGAAGCATCCCTGCTCTAGTTTTACCTTTCAAAAAAAAATGTTGATGCAGGGGAGTGAAGATGTAAAAATTCCTATCAAGGTGGATATGCCGATGGTCATGGTGAATATTAACAAGCACTATAACGGCCACAGGTCCTCAGGTCAGGTAGAATGGAGATGGCGCCATGTCCTCAGGTCAGGTAGACATCCCGAAGCCTGCCTTAAATCCAACTCAAACGATTTGAACTTAAGATCAGATTTGCACAAGGGGTAAAGAGGAAGAAAAGATCTCAAATAAAGGAGTTAAGCCAGGCCACTGGCAGAATAATAACATGGATAGAGAATATTAAAACAGAGGTCCACAAGGAAAATATTAGAAGAAATCATCAAGGTAAAGAGGACAGTCCACTAATAGTCCCAAGTAAAATTACCTACCAGTTTTTAGAGATCTATAGCACATAATATATGCAGCTAGCAGATAATTTGAATAGATTGAACGCTGACCCGTTTGCATCTCAATCTCACCACTCCAGAAAGCACAAATGCTTAGTTGTTTTATACCAGATTAGAGTGCTACAGAAGCCATCGGGATTTCAACCAAGCCAGAACATACAACTCGTGGCATGCAACCCAAGTGGGAGTTAGAAGTACCTTTGGAATTTGTGTAAAAAGAATGGTGTTCGTCATATACACCGCTGGAACCTTATATTTACCATGCAAAAGAGCTGGCTTAAACATGCAAGACGAGAATAAAGATCGGAATCCCTAGATGGATGAAGTGAAATATGATGCAGCTAAGAGCATCGACTTTCAAGGTTCTGAAGGAGAAGCCTTCTAATTATGCATGAGAATTGACTACAGGAGGGCACAACGGAACCAACAATTGGGAGCAAGGTAACCAAATAGCATAAGCAAAACGACAAAAATGAATTGAAGAAATTGGAATTCAAATACAATGAAAGTTCAGAGAAAGGGTAGGGGTAACAAGAAATCAACAACCCCAGATGAAAGTCTACTTGTGGGATGTGATGGCTCAATAATCCATATAAACGTAGAAACACAGAAACTCCTGGTCAACAAATGGCAGCCAAATCTTTTGTGGATTCAACAGATAAAACTGGAGGATTGGACACCATGGATGGTTCGACAAGCCTGGGGTCAAAGAGCAGTGTCAAAAAGCAGCAGGAAAGAGAGAGGGGATTATAGTCTTATGGAATAGAAGACTATGGTGTGCATAGAACAAAACTGCAACAGCTTCTCCATCTCATTCATATTTGAAAGTGTGATAGAAGAATTCCGATAGGCATTCTCTGGATTACGTGGCCACAGGACAGATGTAAAAGAGAAGATATGTAGCTAGAGCCAGCAGCAATCAGAGGCCTACAGATCTCCTGGGTCATTATGGATGATTTCAACACTACAAGATACAGGGATGAAGAGACAAAGCACAATAGGAGAATTAGGGCAATGAGGCAGTTTTCGAAATTTATACAGGACTTTGACTCTGATTGACCTCCACGACATGGTGGAAGACATACCTGGTCAAGGGATGGTGGCAGAATTGGTTCGAGAGTTGATAGATTCCTACTATTGAACTTGTAAATAGGGCCATGTTGGGCTGGATTGGACCCAGTCAATCGGTAATTGCCCAACCCATCCCCCCCCCCCCCNCCCTCTCCCTTTGCAGTCCTTCCCTGCTGCTTCCACAAGCAACACAGATGAAAGCCCCTAAAGCTTCTGATACTTTCAATGGCCTCAAAAAACCAGCAGTGGCAACATCAAATAGCCAAAAGAATCAGTTCCAGCACCCACATCTCCAGTGGACTCCACCTTGCCGCAGACTCCGACATGCCACACCTCCACAAACTCATGTATCCAATGGAAACTAAAGACTTTAATGCTGCTGAGACGTCCATCTCTACCGATCTTTTCAAATTCAAACCTTGCCCTCCTTTCTGCTCAGTGACCATACTCACTCTTGAAGTCTCGCCCAACATTTCTCCAACAACCAGTACTAAGAATACTATTTTCGACCCAATTATTAAAATCAATAATCTTGACTCATCAATGGGAGACTTAGAATTAGGACTGTTCAGATCTACCACTAAAAATAATGTCCTTATAGCTGGGTATGCCATTTTTCCACTAGCTATTCAGGTTACTCTGAGAAACCATGTTTCTTTCCTGAAAACATCTAACATTGCAGTCACAAGGTGGAGTCACACTAACAAACGGGGATGGTGCTAGCTACACTAATGTAACAGGTTAGCAACCCTATACATACACACATGTATATTGGAGTATTTGATATGAAAATTAAATAAGATGAAAGATTGAGTAGTGAAAATGCATGCTGCTCTAGAAAACTAAAACTTCTGAACTTAATATCATAAGACATACAAAATAAATTTAACTTTTCAAAAACTCCTCACTGCCTACAACACAAAGGTTGAGAAACCCTTTATATAAGGTTGTGTTAGTAGATAAACAGAAGAAAATGATAAAGACCTACCTAAAATAGGCAAATGTAAAAGAAGAGGACAAAGATGCCTCGGTGAAAAGAAACAATAAGAAAGCATAGACTAGAATGACACTCTTGTTTCTAGACTTTTGGGACCATTTCTAGGAAGCTACCATTTGGAGAAATATATTACAGCATTACCTGTTCCTAATTATGTCTAATACAAAATAAATTACAACATCTAAATTTTCAAAACAATCAATATATGTTGAAGCACGTGACCATCTCACCTAAAAGCTTAAGCTATTAGAGAGAGCACATTTTATTGATTTAATTGTCTCTTCAACACATCCCCTCGCGTGCAGGCTTCATTCATTTTTTTTTTATTGGTCAAGCACGTGGAAATTCATTTTTTATAATGGTAGCGATGAGACTTGAACCCAGGGCCTTTGCCTGCTCTAATATCATGTTGAAGTGTGTGACCATCTCACCTAAAAGCTTAAGCTATTAGATAGAGCACACTTTATTCAATTAATTGAGTCTTCAACAATATATAAGAAAGAGAGGAAACACTATATCCTCAATTATTACAATAAAATTATAAAACTTACGTCATTAATAATTTTTCAATACTAGATATGTAAAATCAGAAGGTTCCTATATTCATTACAGAGCAATGATAACACAACTTCCGCACATGCCTACAAGCTTGCTCTACCTGATAGAGCTTCTTGGTAGAAGCAAACGCACCCCCAGGCAAATCCGCACAGCATTTCCTACTGCCTAACAGTTGGAATTCAGAACAAAGCTTGGCATTAAAAGTGAGGCCAAGTTAGGCTAGCAACCCCGCTTAAGTCACACACAGGCCTTGGCCATTGTAGGGACAGCGAGATAAATTACAAAAATCCACACACACAAATTAGACTCCAAACATGATCGCTACCTCAACACAGACTAGCTGAAAAGAGCACCATGAAGGTTAACCAAAAGGACATGAAAACGAAGTAACTGAAGAGAATGTTTCCCTCTCGTCTCCATCACAATTATCACTTCTAAAGGTGACAACCACTACCTGAAGGACTTGACAAATTTCTCTGGCCACGTGACGATCCTTTATGTGCTTCCCAAGTGACAAATTTCTGAAAGCAGTATAGCCAATTAAGAATACACCACCTTTTAATGTCCATTTTTTTAGCAACTCGGCCCTTCTCTCCCTGAAAAAAGAGGTAAAGTAAAGTTGACTAAGATACCACATACGAAATGACTGACAGAGGTTTGATAAAAGAATGTTTACAGTACTCCAATAAAAATAATCCTAACAATTTGCCGATTGAAAAACAAGGCATGCAAAGAAATCATATAAAAGTAAAGTTGACTAAGATACCACATAACGAAAACATATTCCCAACTAATTGGTATATATATATAATCTTTTTCTTTATTATTGTGCCCTATCTTTCCCTAAGTCTACATTGATTCCAAGAGAATGCAAGTCTTTCGCGAACACTTCCTTCTATGTGATTTTAGATCTACCTCGTTTCTTTAAAATATATTCACTAACCATCATTCCGCACCTACGGACCGGTGCACTTAGAGGTCAATTCAGGCATGACCAAACTATCTTAAGCAACTTTCTATCATTTTATCCTCAATGTGTGCTACTTGCACTTCCTAGGACAACAGGGAAAAAATTGTTTAGTCCTACTTATAACCTTTTGGTTTCCTTTTTCTATAAGGTAATAATTGTAGTAACAATGATGAATCTCGTGTATACAAGTAGTATACTAAAAAGTAAAGAATCTATAAAGAAAATGATTTAACACAAACGACACCCAATCTACAATACAAAATTGAACCTCATGCATATACCAAAAAGAAACTAGGACTGAGAGGCTACTCTATACATATAGTCTTACTGTATTTCCTCAACAATCTCATATTTTCTCCTCCCACAGAATGCACATGAAATGCTAGTGGAGCAACATTCCACGCCCACCGTCTTCTCTTCCTTCTTATAAAAGCCCAACTGAATAGTATCTCATTCACCTTGCCCTACATCGCCTTTTGTAATGTGAACCAAGTTAAAACCTCCCACCACCAAACTAGTTGTCACATGACAATATAGGAGGAGGTCGTGCACATCTTCACCCAAATATTTGCAGTACCACTTAACATGCATAATCCTCATCTTCATCAAACTCTCAGCTGCCAAGATCGCTTTCATCGCTGCTAGCCAAATAAAAAAATATGTTTTTGATACCCTTATCCAAACCAATTAGAGCAGAAAACTCAACTTCTTTGTAACCAAGATCTTATGATAATATGTCTCACTAAGAACGATTCACTTCTCTCCACTCTCCACATTCACGAGTCTTAACTAGCATGTGATGTACTTTGCTTGTCAGGCATTTCAACTTGACCTTAGAATTCAGCTACTTTTCCATCTACTTTTTTGTCGTGCAGATTCCTCCGAATCATTGAGTCCCAATGAACTCTTACTCGTTCTCTATGTAATGTCACCACCTCTTAGCTCAAACACTATAATATCTGGAATGTGAGTCTCAAAGTCTCTTCCACACACCAATTGTGATTCCAAAACTTGATCTTGTTTCCATCTCTTACCATGATGTCCTACATAAGTCTTTCCATCCTTAATATTCCTCCAAAGACCCTATCCAAATAGCAGGGTGATATGTTTAATCCTCCGTCCCCCTTTAACAATTCCACTTTTTTTTTGCTTTCATGTTACTAGATTGAGCGTCCTCAACCTCAAATCTCCATAACCATTTCCTAATAGGCCTTGCTGAAAACTCAAAGATATTTATCCGTAGACCATTCCATTTCTTTGGAGACGCAACATCCTCCAACTGACCACGTGGAGCTTCCTAAACCCTATCTGTTGAGTCCCACAAAAAGTTCCTTGGAGCCTCTCCGATATACGTGGGGTAATGATGAGATAGTGAAGCGATGACATGACTACATTGGAACGCTTTAGAGTACTCCTACGTAATACATCTTTCCAACCTTTAGGCAGGTACCTCCTTGACCACTCTATTAGCCCCCTCTTAAACTCTTTTAATCATCGAGTTCCATGTTTGGTCTTTGTTGGAAGTCCAGAACCATATAAGAAACGGTCATACAAAATCCAATTGATTAATGTTTGCATCACAAAAAAGAAACTAATGTGTTGTTGGCAGATAAGAGGTGAGAAAACTGTGAAAACTCTCAACGTACTTTGTCACCACATCACTCCAAAGAATCCCGTAGTTGAAGCCTCCCTTCCATAGGAACCCTCTTTTACCCTCTGCTCTCCACTCTACGTCAATCAATTGAAGTTCACCTCCAAATCAAAAGTGTTAGTAGTTGTGACAACTAACTATGAGATATTAAAGGTGATTGAGCAGTCATGTCCCCCTTCTCAATACAATCGCAGGTCTCCTGTTACCTTGCTAGTTCCTTCTCAATTGGCAATTGCTAGTTCCTTCTCAATTGGCAATTGCTAGTTCCTTCTCAATTGGCAACTGCAAAAAAAGGGGATTGGTTCCCTAGTCCCCAACTTAAACCAAAATTAAGTGTTTATAGCCCAACCATAAGGCACATGATCCCTCTTCCCTTTGCTAAACCTATTCCTCCATATCAGTTTCCTCATCCAAAAGGCACTTTTAGCCTATTTTGTAACTTTTTCTCTCCTAATAAAAGATCCCGCCAGCTTCATCCAAGTCATAATTGTTATAGATCATTCATATTAACGATTCTCAAAAAAGTAATTGTTACTAGCCGATTCACCATAATTTCCGACGATAAGAACTCCCTCCCTCATACCNCAACTTCCCTCCTCCCACATGAAGGGCTTCAACGTAGAGTTCCGGGAACATCCAAACTTACCTGATTTCCCCATCATCAACTACCATTGACACCGGAATCCTTCCACCTTTGCTCACCAAGATCTTGACATTCAACATTTTATACATGCTACATATAACATATCCAGAAAACCCACACATATCTCCAGGAAACGCCACATGTGCTGATAATCCAACCAAGTGTACTGGAACTACGTCGCAAACAACCTGGGGTAGATGCAGCCTAGCAGCTCACTCCATCTTCCAAACATCAAAAAATAGCCTATATACTACTTGACTACCTCTAGATAGCTCCACGAAGAAGTGGCCAAACAAGAGAGCAACAAACAGAACCTGATGAGACAAATTGACTCCGTCAATACATACAGCATCCATAAGCTCCTTGATAGAAACCTAAAAGAACATACAGTAGTCTGCTGCTAAGTTTAATTCAAAGATATTATTTCAGAGGATTTAACAAGCTTGAAAAAATCATATGACTTGAATTATGGACAAAACAACACCAGTACAAGCCTCGTGATGATTTAAAAGAAGAGGAACCTTGGAACATCTTCAAGCATAAAGACACGGAGAGGCTTCAATTCTGATGGTCTCCATTTTATAAATTCCTGTCGCCAGTTATGCAGAACACTTACAGGCGTGACTATGAGAGCAGTTCTCAATCCTAAATCCACACTTCTCATAGCGGCATACAAGAAAGAAATCACCTGTAGAAACAATTTACAAGAAAGATTAACCACAAAGGCTAACAGAATAATGAACTCTTCCAGTTTCTTAAGCATCAGTTGAAAGTAAAAAAACTGACGAGAATACTCCCTCTCATTTCCATATTTCAGGTGAAAGTCAATCCGATACATTGAAGTTCTAGATGGCAAGATAATGTTTAACTGACTCTTGTCAGTTTAAAACTTGCCAGCAAAAAACAAGAAAAAATGAATGCAACACAAGTAAAATTCTAGATGGCTAGATAGTGTAACTGACTGTCAGTTTAAAACTTGCCAGCAAAAAACAAGTAAAATCAACACAAGTTGATTGAAACAATAAACAAAGTTTTCTAATGTCACTCCCAATTTTTTCCAAGTGAAACTATGTGGCACAAGGCAGTGTTAAGAAACATATGATCATACAGTAATTTGAAGATGAGAAACTTCTGAAAGTTCAGTACCCTTAGGACACAAAACTGAGGTATTAGTCAGAATCAGAACAAGAAATGGAGCTAGGTCACAGATATACAATAATGCGATTCAGCCATGTAATACCTGAAATGTTTTGCCTAGACCCATAGTATGAGCTAGGATGCAACCAAGGCCTTTATCTCCAGACTTGACTTTCCTGATAGATTGAATAATATTTTCCCACATAAAACGAATCCCAGCAACCTACAATGATAAAAGTTAGGTGCCAATACTAAATAAGAGATTTTCTATGGTACAAATAACAATACATAAACAATCAAGAGCCATATAATGAGTTCGGAGGATAAAGGCTAAGTTGCTCGACACTGCAGTTTAGGTGCCGCACCCCTGTCGACACAACACTGGTATGGGTGTGGACATGGGATCTGTACTAGATCTAGTCAAACAATTTTGGGTACTTTGACCACGACAGACGGAAGATTTTGAGACCAGATACAATTTGATTCCTGAAATCAGAACCAAAACTAGGGTAAATTTGAAGAAAATAGCATACCTGACCTAGGAAATCAATCCTTTATATATCTACAACTTGAGAATAAAAAGAAATCCACTTTACAAGCTAGATAATTTTATTTTTTAAATTATTTTTAGTTGGATACCCGCACCCGTATCCATACTAGGATGCGTATCCCCGAATTTTAGAAATTAGAAATTACATCTTGAAGGATCCGACATCTAGCTCTGCACCCGTGTCGGACACCCGCACCCGTGTCTGAGCAACTTAGATAGTAGGTATAACACGTTTTCACCATCTACACTATCTTAGTTTTCTTCAACTTCTTTGCCCGTGGCAAACTTCAAAGGATCAAACTCGCATAGACCTAGACTGAATCAAACACAAAATCAATACTAGTACTAGGATCTGACAAAGAACCCATACTGGCATCAAAACGTGCTACTGACGCTCGTCATCAAAGTGAAGGATCTGGTTAATGTAGCTTTCCTTTTTATAGTCGAGAAATTTCCACGGATTGGTGTGTGAGGTTTGAACTCGGTAGATAATGGGCCCGTCCCTCTACCCTTCTCCCCTTAAACACAAGAATTATGTCAGCAATAAGGTTTGAAACCGTGACATCCTAACCCACACAACACAAGCTACGCTCTTAGCGCTAGACCAAAGCCCTAGAACTTGGTTAATGTAGCTTTTAGCAGGTAAAGAACACAAGACCGAAAAGGAGTTTCAACTTTGTTTCCTCTAAAGTACATTTTGGTTTGGTTTGGTTTGGTTTGGGGGGNTGTCAATGAAGACAAAGGAAGTAGAGATTGACAGGGCAGGTCAGAAACTATAAACTGAAGGTTATGCAAAACAGAAGTCTGTTCAATAAAATAACAAAGCAATCCAGTTCACTCAGTTTAAGAAAACAAAACAAACAACACTTGTTCCTTGAGTGCATGTCTTAAAAAGTATATTCTTTTCAGGACCTAGAGTCAGAAAAGAGGAAGACGACCTTAAGAAATGCTCAGAATACCTAAGAGCCCTTAGGGTGACATGTTGGCAAGCCACATGATCCACAGATGTACAAGCAAGTACGATGCCAAAAGTGAGATGTTATCTTCTATATGTAAGGATATGACAAAAAGTAGATATGAGAGAGCAGATCTTGTTGATGAAGGAGAAAGGGAAAAAGAGAGTCAACTTTCTCATTCGTGCAACACATCAAAGTACTACTCACAGGATTCAGAAGAATTCAGATATCATATTTGTCACAATGTGAAATCCGTATACTACTTCAGAGAGCAAGAATTTAACACACACGAGACGAACAACTGCATAGAAGGTGACCTGGTGGGCTTTCAGCTTTGCTGAGATGCTGGGTGGAATCCTTACTGCCTCTTCCCCGTCCTCCCTCACCACATTAACTATGTAACCAGTTTCAACATCACCGAGCATTTCTAAGCTACCACTTTCATACGAGGTTTTGCAACAAACCCCAGAATTCATGAACATAGTCTCGCTCGAATATTTTGCACCCAGAGATTTGAGGCGTTCTTGGCGTTCCTGAAAATATGTGTGTTTTAATAGATGCCTTGAGAAGGAACCAGTGACAGAACACATCGCTTGGACTTTTACCTTTTCTATTGCAATTTTCCTTTTTGTCTCCTCCCCTAACTCAGTATCATCAAGGATTCTTCTAATTTTCTTTTTTCGTCGTCTCTTCGTGCTGGTGCAAGAAAACATAATCCTTCCATTATTCTCGGTATATATTGTAATACAGAGGTGAAAATGGTAAAGTGCTAGAAAATAAGGAGGCTAATCAAACATTACAGAGCACAGACACAAAGATAAAACTTTTAAGTCCACTTGGATGCAATGTATTTAGACCTCCATACATGAGGCAGAAAATCCCGTTCTTTAACAATACAAACTAACACTGCTACAAAATGCTTCAGTAACAATTTTCTCATTGGCATCATCACCTGTCCAGGAAAAAAAATAGAGAAGGAGAAGAGGAAAGATCAAGCATTACTACTCCCCTTGTCGCAGTTCCCATGTCACTTTTCGCTTAGCAAGAGACAGCATTTTCCAAGACTGCTGTGGAACTGCTCAAAAGAATCTATGATCTAGAGAGTAGAGAATGCAACTTCTTTCGTAATATCAATATGCTACATGTTAAGAGTTGATGAAACTAAAGAGTAGCCCGCTCATGCACAAATCTTGCACGAGTTTAATTGAGTCATTGCCATGATCATGCCATATGGATAAATTGGGATCGAGTCCTAAAGATATGCAACTTAATGGGTGTAGGATACACAGTTTACATGATTATCAAGTATATGGTGTACCTTCTATGCCCATTGACATCAGCATCTGAAGCATCTGAATTATCTGAATCTGTGTCTGTGCTAGAATCTACTAATCCCTGAGATTCCATGATCTTCTCCAACTCTGAAACCAATGGATGCAGGATACTTGGGGAGCAACAGCAGCATTGCCAACCAGATGTTTTTATTCCCAATAAAGTTTCTTCACCAAGGTTCCTCCTTACACACACACTACAAAATAACCTTTTGCACGATTTACAACTTAAGAGATCACTGCAACGCCCACACCATCTGCAGTAGCATTCTGAGCAATCAACATCCTGTACAACGTTAAAAAGACATAAGAGAGAGAGAAGCGTGAATCATTACTGTAAAATAACAAGACTGATAAAAAAAAATTAACCATTAACTGATATCTTCTCATTGATGTACAGGTAAAGTATATATAGGATACAAGTAAATAAAATAACTACAGCTATAAGGAAAAGGGATAACTACAGATAAGAGAGATAACTACAAATACAAGAAATATAACGAGTAAAATAATTAATTACACGTAGAAGAATGTATATACTCTAACAATTACATCTTGTTATTTGTCAGAATTTAAAGTCATAGAACATTAGTTAAAATTAACAGGTAAAGGTGTGCCTAGCCGTGATTGCAAATAGCCAGCACCACAGCAATCTCATAACACATGTAAATAGAAATGCACCTAATTTTTTCAAGATGCTATTGACACATAATTTGGATATATTTGAAACTATCTTCAATAGTTTAGCAGGGATGGTTATATTTTACCTGCATCTTTGCTTTCATTGAGTTTTTGCAGTCCAGGCAAACTATAACTTTCAAAAGAGGATGTGCACGTAGTTCAACAGCCAGTTTATCACAAGCCGTGCAGCGAAAATTTTGCTTCTCATTAAATGCCGGAAGAGAATTAATGGGAAGCACATCATCTCCATTCATTTGTGGATTGGACTGATCTCCCATCTCACTCAAACTGCATGTAGGAGACAACTTTTCCCCAGGAAGATCCTCCTCATCACTATCTAGCGTAATGATCCGAGGCTTTTTACTTTGAGCCTCCATTTCCTCAGAGTTATGTACACGTTTCAACCCTTTGGCCTCAGAATCAGTTTCAGGTAGGCATTTTGATGATGGCACATCCCCGTCATCAATAGTGGAATACCTATTTGTGTGAAAGTCAACATCTTGAGACAAGGAACCGTTCATGTCATCTGTTGTATCTTCCTGTATCTCCTCCTGGTTGGACATAAGAAGTGTACAACATGAAGTACAATTTAAAAGAGGAAAAGCACAAAACTATGAAGGGATCAAAGAATATTAAATAGCCAATCTTATGTAATCAACTATTGTTACAATTTGAAAGAAGATTTTGCATAATGCATAGTAGTTCGGTACCTTCACCAACATCACTTAGGTACACATTTCATATACAAACTCAAATGAGTAACACAAAGTTCAGGTTAACTTTCAATCTTTTTCCTTTGTCCAATTACGAAGGTCGCATAATGCTAGCTACTCTAGAACTCTTATTTTCTCATTCCTCAGTCTTAATTTTAGAAGATAAGAAGAGAGAAAACACTAGTCGCAAAGCATTCGTCTAGGGTAAGAGCGTAACTCGTGATGTGTGGGTTACGCCCACGTCATGGGTTTGAATATTGTCACAGACAAAAACTTGGTATTTAAGTGTGAGAAGGGTAGAATGACTAGCCCACCATCCACCGAATGCCAACAGTGAACCAGTGGCCCTCGTAAATTTCTCGATAATCAAAAAAGGAGAGAAATGCTAAGAGTTAGTCCAATGCATGCCTTTCAGAATTCCAAATTCCAAACCATCACATTGACAAAAAGAAACTTTAGGATTTGGAAAGGGGATTCCACCATCAGAAATCCTACCTACTTCAAAGTTTCAGCCTTCAGGGAGAAGACAAATTCTCAATAACAAGCTTCTTCGGGTTCTTGGCATCAAGAGGTAAATTATAATATTAAAGCTGGAGGTTTCACTATTTAATTAATATGTGTAAAAGTAGATTATGGATATGATCAACTATAATGAGTTAAAATTGAATATTTCACAATGTCAGATAGATGAAATTGGGAGAATTCAAGAAAACTTTTGTAAGGATACGCAAGAATAGGAAACTGTGGATTAATGTCGAAATTGGAATAACCATGGGTAGTTCGCCCTAATGGAATATACTGTGAAACAATTGGGAATTTGACTAGCTTGTCCAAAGTAGATGTGATATTTTTCAAATAAATAACACTTAAGTTCATACAAAATGACTATTAATTGCTGAACAAGCAAACGGTTAGCCTACTAGCACCACGTTCATGACAAAGGAAACTAGAAATGTGAGAGGTGTCTCTTTCTTAGCTTGTGTTTTTCAACTATAATATGCTTCTAAAATTTTCTCCATTAAAGTGATTAATTGAATTGGGATAAGCAGTAATATTAATGATATGCTGAGAAAGAAAATATTTTGATAGTATGAGTTCCATTATGATGTATAAAGTGCCAAATATTCACATGAGATATGATCTTTGGTTATTCTATGTTATTATGCTATGGCCAAATGATCTTTAAAGAATGCACGTGTACATGTTTATACGTCTGTATCATGTATGTATATTGAGATACTTGTGATGGGTAGCAACATCGTTACCTAACGACAGTGCGCTTCTTTGTGTGGTTGGCAGCAAGAAAATCAGCAGGGAGAAACCGTGTATAGATGAGTCAGAGAAGATGCGGATGCAGCGCGCTTGTGGTGGATGGTTTTGAATTGGTTCAGGATACAAAGGAAGCATCATTCAATTTGACTTTCAAAAGTAGGAAAAGAAGATCATCAAAATGAGAATTTGCCAGCCATTATGTGAGTAGTTTGGCATGAGCAAAATAGAAGAGCGTTTGAAGCGGTAGAAGACCATCAAAATGGGATATTGTCTCCCAAGCTCTTATGTGAGTAGTTTGGCATGAGCGAAATAGAAGGGCGTTCGAAGGGGTAGAGAATAATTTTGTTTATATGAGAAATAGCTTGTTGACTCTAGTTTCCTTTTGGTGCAACCTTGAACTTTGACCTGTATAGATGAGAGTGACTTTCATAGAGAACCAAGTTTTACTGTAAGGTCTCTACTTTTTGGTATATTTCTTGTATACTAGAATTTCCCAATATCAATAAAATTATTTTGCCTTATTAAAAGACCATTATCTAGCGACTAATTTCGTTACCTGGTGCACCTTGTACAGTAATGATATAATGTTGCACCTTCGCTATTAGGATGAAAAGAACTAGCAACAAGTGTGATAGGCTTCGCTAGACGGCTATGCTGACAACCATATTGACGGTTTGATATCTATTCTAGCTTTAGAAACTCCTCTGTAGTTTGAGATGTAAAATTATTTAAATTAAATTGCAGAGTATTACTTTTGTTGCTCAATTATTATGTTATGTTGAATTGTACCCCCATGTTACTTTGATACGAATTGACCATGTTTTCATATCATATATGTATGTATATACTTTTTTTTTAAAATAAAATTAGTCCCTAGCACAAAGATTGTGCTAAGGAGTAACAAGTTACAAGACCCAAAATAGACAAAAACCAATCTTGTAACAGCTACAAGGAGTCTATGAGATCTACTAGAGATTCTACATTTTGTACAAGTGCTTCTTTACACTAAAAATAAAACAAAAATGTACAATTCATCTTAATCCTTTGTTCATGGCTTGCCACATCTTCAAAACATCTAGAGTTTCTTTCCTTCCAAATGGTCCACCAAATACATGCTGGGACAATGTTCCACCACTTCTTTTGGCCTGTGATTATCCCGGAGCCATTCCAGCTTGCCATCATCTCATCAGTTCTCCTAGGCATTGTCCAGCTTAGGCCTTTCATGCTCATGAACAGCTGCAACAATCTGCTAGTCACCTGGCAGTGAATGAACAAATGGCTGATTGTCTCATTCTTATTGCCGCACAAAAACATCTTGAGCATAGTTGTATTCCTCTCTTCATTAAATTTGCATGAGTTGGAACAGCCTGTTTGACTACTAACCAGCAAAAAATTGTCACCTTTAGGGGGACTTTTGCCTTCCAAATATGTTTCCAATGCCAGAGGCCATAGTTCAGGTCACATCTGATTAAATTCATGTATGCTGACTTTACTGTAAAGATACCATTGTTGCTTCTGACCCACACCAGCTTATCTTCTTGTTCAGTAGTTCCCCTGAAGTTTTGTAGAAGACTGAAGAAATCAGTCACTCTACTCACCTCCCAGTCATTCGGAAATCAGTCACTCTACTCACCTCCCAGTCATTCGGAAATCAGTCACTCTACTCACTTCCCAATCATTCGGAAATCAGTCCCTCTACTCACTTCCCAATCATTCAGAAATCTTCTAAAGGTTAGGTTCCAACCTTGTGGGCTCCAAGTTTCAGCTAGAGTTGCATCAGGTTGTTGTGCTAAGCTGAAAATATCCTGAGGGGGCCATTTCCTATCAAATCGTCATTCTAGAAGGAGAGCTTCATGCCATTCCTAGTTTTTAAACTGATGTTGGAAGCAAAATCTTGCCATAGGGCACTTATTGATTTCCAAACACTCACTCCCGGTAACATAACTTGTGCACCACTGCCCACAGTCCCATATTTTTCATTGATCACCTTCTTCGATAGGGTTTGGTCTTCCAGAGGGAATCTTCACAACCACTTCATTAAAAGACTCTTGTTATGTTGCCTTAGGTTTCTAATACCCAAGCCCCCTTCCTTCTTGCTGCATGTGAGAGCTTCCCACTTGACCAGGTGGTAACTTTTCTTCTTTCTTGTTTCCTTGCCAAAATGAAATTCCTCCTCAGAGCGTCGATTAACCTTGACTGGCATGGAAAAGAGAGACATCATGCAAGTGGGAAGAGCATCTAGAACACTATTAACCAGGACAACCCTACCTCCCAGGGACAAGTAATTGCTTTTCCAATTAGATAGTTTCTTCTCACCTTTCCACAATTCTATTCCATATCTGTTGAGACTTATTTTCAGCCCCTAGAGGTGACCCCAGATATGTAGTAGGTAGAGTCCCCACCTCACAACCTAAAAATCATGCTAGTCTTTGAATGTTTGGAACCTCGTTCACAGTGAACAAATGGGATTTTCTCCAGTTTACATGTAAACCTGACACAGCTTCAAACACAGTAAGAATCAACCCCAAGTGTGTAATTTGCTCTACTTTGGCATCGCAGAAAACCAGTGAATCATCAGCATATAGTAAGTGAGTAATTTCCAGACTACTTCTGTCATTGTTGAGCACCCTGAAGCCTCTCAGCCAACCTTCAAGATTTGCTTTCTTGATCATGCTATTCAAACCTTCCATGGCAATAATGAAGATGAAAGGTGAGAGGGGTCTCCTTGCCTTAATCCTCTTTGAGATGGAAAGAACCCCTCTTGAGTGCCATTCACAAGAATGGAGAATCTAACATTACTAATGCAGAAGTGAATCCACTTAATCCATTTGCAATCGAAACCCGTATCTTTCAACAGCTTGATAAGGTAATTCTAGTTTATGTAATCAAAAGCTTTTTCTGTATTAAGTTTGCACAGCAGCCCCGGATCTTTCCCCCTAATTCTGGAGTCAACACATTCAATTAGCTATACAGCTGCATCCATGATTTGCCTGCCTCTGATGAAGGCAATCTGTTGAGAGTCCACAAGTTTAGAGACCACCTTCTTCGGTCTTTCAGCACCTTAGAAATGATTTTGTAGACACTGCCAATCAGACTAATAGGTCTAAAATCCTTCAACTCAGCTGCACCAACCTTCTTAGGAATCAAAGCTATATATGTAGCATTGAAACTTTTCTCAAAATATTCTTGTAAATGAAAATTCTGAAAAGTATTCACCAGATCTTTTAGTACATCCCAACGGTGTAAGAAGAAACCCATGGTGTATCCGTCAGGTCTAGGAGCTTTGTCGACTGCACATGCTTAAAAAGCCCATCCAAAATTTCCTGCTCATCAAATCCCGCTCCAACCACTCCACTTCTGAGTTATTTAGTTGAGGGGATTGACTATAGTTGAACTCAGGCCTCCATAATTCTGACTCGCTATCCAGGTAAAAATTAAGGATCTCAATTTTGATTGTAGTTAAATCCTAAACATGAACCCTATTAATGATGAGTCTATGGATTGCATTGAACCTTCTATTAGCATTTACCACATTGTGGAAGAAATTTGTGTTTTTGCCCCCCCGTGTTTCAACCATTGTACTCTTGATTTTTGTCTCCAGGATAATTCCTCATGCTTTGCAATTTCTTCTGGATCCATAGTGAGGCTTGCCAACTATATCATTTCGTCTTCAGACATTACTGGTCTCCTGGGCAATTTGTAGTACCAGGATATTATTAAGACAATCAGTTTTCAAAGCTGATAGGTTCCCTACTTGAGTTAAACTCCAATCTCTTAATTTGCAGTAAACTCCAATCTCTTAATTTGCTTTTTAAGAGCTTGAGTTTCTGGGCGAGAATAAAGTGGGGTCTCCCTTAACATTGAAGGATGACCACCACAATGCTACCATGTCCTTAAAGCCCTCAACTCCCAACCACATGTTCTGAAACTTGAAATAAGATTTAGAGTTCTCCCGGTTACCGCAATTAAGCAAAATGGGGGTGTGGTTAGAGACAAGTTTGGGAAGCACGGACTGCCTTTTGTTCCTAAAGCTCTCATCCCAATCAGAAGAGAACAAAAATTGTCCATTCTAGAAGGAATATGAGAATTGTTGCTCCTGGTCCATGTAAACACTCCCCCTAAAAGCGAAGGGTCGAAGAGCTCAACTTCCTCAATGAAATTGGAGAACTCAATCATGGCTCTTGATATGATGTTGTTGTCCCTTCTTTCCTCCATAAACCTAGTAACACTGAAATCTCCGCAAACAACCCATGGACCATCGAAAGATCCCCTAAAAGCAGCAACTTCCCACCAAACGTTCCTTCTTTCAAGTCTACAATGCGGAGAGTAAACTCCAATCAAGTGTTAGGAGAAATTATAGCCCTGGGCATCAAACTTAACAGTGATAGAATAACTACCTACATTAATCACTTCCCCTTTTCAGGACCTACTGTCCCAGAAAACCAAGATACCCCTATATTGTCACTAGCTTTCAAACAGCCAAATTTGACCCACCTGAACCCCCAAATTTGTTTCACAAAACTCTTCACATCTCCTTCCAATTTCAATTCTTGTAAGCAGTAGATATCGGCCTTCCAACTCTCAATTAGAGACTTGACAATAGATTTGTTATCCCTTCGGTTTAATCCCCTCAAGTTCCAAGAAATAACTTTTACCTTCATTGATAATAATTGAAGGTAGATTTCCCCCTACTTCTTGTACTGGACTTGGAAATTCATGTTGAACACCAGATTCTGAACTTCCATGCTCCCCTTCTTCTTTTTTGGAGTCGATACTATCTTTAAAGCAGCTTCTCTCTTATCTCTAATCTGCGCTTATCGATTTTCATGAAGAGAGACGGAGCTTCTCCCTCGCACCCCTGAAAGTTAACTCAGTATGCTTTGCTCATCTTCAAAACATTTTTGTGCACCCATAAGGAAGCTTCCATTTCCGCCTCTAGAAATTGAGAGTCCAAGGGTTCTACTTCATCATCAGACAATGGCTCTTGATCTTCATACGTTGACAATTGTAGGGAATTCTTGGGTAGAAGAGAGAAAGGAATGAAATGATTTCGCCACCCTCTAAAGCTTGACCTTCTTCTTCGAATCCACCATGCAAAGCCAATTCCTCTGTTGCATCTAAGAGACGTGGTGGATCTTCTGTCTCAGATGGATCTTCTGATAAAACAATGTCCATTGAGTTATGAATTGCATAGAGTTCTTCCAACATTGGGTCGGGTCTATCCCCTGGGAAGAGAACTGAGAATCTGTTTTTTATTATAGTAGAAGTCGGGATGGGCTTAGTGAAAGAAATAAGGGACTTTTAATTTTACTAGGCCCGTTAGATGACTCGGCAATAGCATGTGAACCTTTTTTAAAAGAAGGTCCCACCTCAATGTCACGTGACTCTTGAGCCACGTGCCTCTTACTTTCCAGACCCATAGTTGTATTTCTAGGGTTAGGACCCCTAGAAATTTCAAATCTCTGATGTAATTTCATCACTGCACCAGGTCGCCGGCGATTCACACCAGATCGGCACATAAAATTATGCCATTTTTCTCCACCTCTCTGACTTTTGGGATTCTTTCGAATAGGCCCTTCACTTTGATTCGAGCCTATTTTAAATGATTCCTGAGAGAAGTTTCCTCCTCCATTTCAATCCATCTCCCACATTTATCCCCAATGAGGAAGATTTTCTAGGACCACATGTGAAGAGGAATCACCAGTATCTCACCCAAACCCAATCCAGCTTTGCCTCAGCCGAATAACAGCCTATTGTCGGCGACCACCATTCAAGCATCAGCAGTTTGTTCCTCCATCTCCATTCCCCCATTTTGATATGGTCTGTCATTTTCCTTGACGGAACTCGTGCCTAGGAGCATATTCAAAGGCATCCACTAATAACTTTTTACTACCAGAATCTTATGTTATATGTATGTATATACTTATCCATGATAAAACGGTTATAGTTGAGTTATCCACTCACTTGTCAGTGTGACTAACCCCCTCTTCTCATCATCATTATTCACTAGTTGACATGGTTAGTACTACTCCAACCGCGTGACAACTAGTAGATAGTTATCAAAGTAAGCCTAACTTGTAATGTGTGGGCAGTATCTTCTATTATTTTGTTAGACTCTAGAATTATGCTCCACTAATCATTCTTGGAGATTATAGAACTGATTTTGTGAGTCTTGTGTCAGTTGATTATTAAAAATTAATTGTTAGTACCTTTGGTTTGTAGCTAATGATATTGGTGCATAAAATTTGTGTTGTTGTGATTGGCTAATAACATGATTATCAGAATGCTCTAAGCACAGAGGAGACTATCAGAGTTTTGTGCCAAAAATGGCCAAGTGGCTAGGTGAACCATGCTTGACTTAACGCTGGTTGGGGTCGTGACATAAAGTCTATCTGATATCCCCCGCGGCAGTAGTGAATTTTCAGAGGGTCATATTGTTAGCTCATAACAGATCACCCTGAAGTAAAACGGCTCAAGTCCTTCGCGAATGATACACTTTCAGAAATCTTTTCCTAATAACACTTTAAGAAACTTATTAGATACTAAAAAGAGAGCTCAAAGCATGCTCATTACCAATTTCTGCATGTTCCTGTGTCTTCTTTGTTTTAAACGTCTCCGAAGCTTCAAATCAATTTTTAGATCATCTTCCTCTTTAACCTGGAAGAGAGAGAAGTAAAAAAAAATTGTCATAAGTTGAATCGACAGCCCAGTTATAACAGCAGAAGTTACCTCTCATCAGCAGAGAATTTGAAGAAGAAACAAATGGTCGTTTAAAGGGTGCTTAAAAGAAAAAGAAAGAGTGGTAAAAAGGAAGGGGGAAAAAAGGTGAATGAACACTTCATCCGGCTCCATATCTTCAAGAAATGAAGTATCAATGTCAAAGAAAAGAACTAGAATATACCATTCACAGACCTTCTTATACTTCCTCTTTTGCTCTTCAGAAAGATTTAGCTCTCTTTCATTTGCAATGGCATCTGCAACAAATGGATCAACAGAACTGTCTTCAATATCATCAATCTCCTCAACCTGAGATTGAATCGCATATACGACCAAAGCACTTTTTAATTAGTTGGCCATGCAAATTAAACAAAGACCCTCTGAAGTAAAGAAAATGATATAAAACTCAAAACTGTGATTATGCGGCAAAAGTTTTTTGGCATTTCATATACCATGTAAGTTTACAGATATACTTGTCATGAAGCTGGTATAAATCAGGAACTAATTTCATAAATTCCCACTTGACAATTATGAAAAGCAAAAGCAAAGTAGCATCAAGGCTATCTCAAAATAAATAGACCAAAGAAAAAATAATACAACAGTGGGGTCTAGGAGGGTGGCGTGCAAGCAAACCTTACCCCTACCTTGTGTGAGGTAGACAGTTGTTTCCGACAGAGATCAAATAGAAAATAAAAAATTTATAAAATTGCAAGATTAAATTGATATCATTTGCTTCGTTATAAATGATCTTTCATTATTTTTTTATACTCTAATTTTAATCGTTTTTACAATCTATTAATCTATTTTGTACAATAATATCTTTCTAGGACTCCCCAATTCAGTAAAAATATATTAAAAGAAAACAACAATATCTTTCTAGGGGAAGTGTATACTTTAAATTCGAGAAAATGTGGCTAGAGCATGAAATTCTTGGTAATCACTGGAGTTGGTGGAAGTCTTACGATATTCAATGCAGGCAAGATCTGATTTTAGCAAGAAAATAGAAAATATTGAAGATTTGAGGAATGGAATCAAGAAGTCTACGGAAGATTGGGAGTAGTGTTTTAAAAGGCATTTTACGGGCTAGCCCTACAGCGAGGCACACTAAAAACGCAATGCGGCATACACGTGGGGCGCAAGCCTTGTGGGTGCGCAAGTCCCAGCCTTCTGGGCGTTTTCTTAGGCGTAAGTCCCAACTTTCTGGGCATTCATTGGGTTACACCCCAGAGAATTTATTCAGAATAGAGCCATAATTGCTTAATAATTCCTTTTATTAATACTTAAACTCAAAGTTAACTCAGTAAATTTTCAAACTGGAAAACCTCAAAAGGCAAAGGTTTTTTCTAACTCCCATCTCAAAAAAGAAATTCCATCTCAGAAAAAGGCTTTTTCTAATTGCTTACCCTAATTTCAAAATCATTTCTCTTTGTCGTTTACTGAGTAACAAATACTCTTCGGCCTTTTGCCTTCAAAGCACAAACTATAAAAAGCAAGAGCTTTGTCCTCCAACGCTTGATCTGCTTCCACGCTTGCATCATCCTTATTTATGCCTCATTTTCCTCAAGTTTCTTTTTACTTTTTTGGCTCTCTTTAGTTTATTCTTTTCAAAGTTATTTTTTATTTTAGAATTAATTTTGGTATCACTCTAGTTTAGATATTGTTTTGGAAAATCTATTCCTGAAGTTTTGTTTGTATTATAATGAGTATTCGTGATTTGTTTTCTAGATTTAGGTTTTATAATATTTTTATTTTAAATTTTTTGACCTACTAGGAATTAGAGTATCATTTTTACAACTCTAAGTATGTTCGATCATAGTCAGTTATAGGTGTAAAACATCTTTACCCCTTTCACTTCTCCTTGTAGAAAAAAATTATCAAGTTTATACACATGTTAGCATGTTTATACAGATATATATTATTAGTACTTTTACAATTTTCTACAATTTTAATGCAAATAGTCTCTAGGTTTTTGCCTCGCTCTATGATAGATAAAATGCCTCGGCTTTTGAAACATTGATCGGAAGTTAGAAAGAATCAGATTTTGAAGGATTTAGAAGAAATGGAACAGATGCAGGAACCAGAAAATGGTGTTGTTGCTGGTGTTGCTGCTGTAAATTCTGGGAAAACATTATTAACTAAGGAGTTTTAAGAGAGCTGAGGAGATATCATGGAAGCAAAAATCAACATTTTTGTAGATTAAAGAAGGGATAAAATGCAGATTTTCCAATAGATTACCAAATGCGCAAAAGGTACTATTGTATTGAGATACTTGAAGTGCAAGGCAGTGCCTCTAAAGATAAAAAGGTAATTAAAGAACAGATCCTAGATTTGTATCAAGGTTTGTTTTCTTAAAAGGTAAATGGAGGCCATCAAAATGTGAATCCAGAGGCCTTTCCGGAAGAAGAGGTAGAGGTGGTGAAAATGGTGGATTGCGCACCAGACCCGGATGGATTCAATATGACTTTTTCCAAAAGATGTTGGCACATAGTAAAGGAAGATATAATGAAGAATTTTGACGTGTTCTACCGAAAAGGTAACTCAAAAGAAGCTTAAATGCCACTTTTATAGCTCTTATTCCTAAAAAGATAGATGTTATAAACATTAAAGATTTCAGGCCTATAAGCTTGCTTAGAAGTGTATATATGATCACTGCAAAGGTCCTCACCAAGAGGCTAAAGAAGGTAATGAATAAGCTCGTGTCTGGAAGCCAAAAGGCTTCCTGAGGGAAGACAGAAAGTGGATGCTTATTGGCCAATGAAGACGTTGATCAAAACTGGAAAAGAGGTACTCTGGGGTGTATCAATGCAACCTTGACTAAGAAAAAACTTATGATCACGTGAGTAGGTCTTGTCTCTTTAAGATTCTAAAGTGGATGAATTTGGTGATAAGTGGACTCAATGGATTAAGATGCGCATCTCTAGAATGAGATTTTCAATCTCGGTTAGCGGAAGTCCAGAAGGATATTTCAAGTCACAAAGGGGATTAAGGCAAGGTGATACTCTTTCTCCATTGTGATGGAAATTTTAGACAGTGTGTTAAAGAATGCTACTGAAAAGGGATGGATTAAAGGTTTTACTTCAGATGGAAGATAGGTAGAAATATCTCAATTATTGTATGCCGATGACACCATGTTGTTATGTGAAGCAGACAAGGAGCAAATACTAAATTTGAGAGTTGTTACTGGCCTGAAAGTAAATCTGTCCAAAAGTTTCATCCTCTCTGTTAATGCTGAAATTCACATTGGAGTTTTGGCAGAGGTAAAACTTGAGAAGTTCCCTACTACCTATCTAGGGCTACCATTGCGTGCAAGACAAAATCACAGAAGTGTATGGCAAGGAGTTATTGAGAAGTGTGAGACGAAGTTAGCCCCCTGGAAGCAGCAATACTTGTCTCTTGGTAGGAGGTTTACTTTGAATAATAGTGTGATAGATGGTATCTCCGCTTATCTACCGTCTTTATTGCCCATTTCAGCAGAAGTGGCGAAGCAAATTCACAAAATCAGAAGGGAATTTCTATGGGACGGCTACTCAGCAAAAAAGAGTCATTTAGTGAAGTGAAGTACAGTGTGCAGTATTAAAGAAGTAGGTTGGTTAGGGGTGAAGAACCTCAAACTACACAAAAAAAAAGTTTGCTTTGTAAATGGTTGTGGAGGTTCAGTACGGAAATGAAGCATATGGCAGAACATTGATATTAAGTATGGAAGAGATCAATCAACAATGTTTTTTCCAGACCCGTGCTTCTTTTTCTATTGTTTTCTTGCTTTTGCCTTCCTTTGTTGTTCTTTCTTTTACATGTCATGTTATTAATCACTTCCATATTAACAAACTATACACCAGCCCTTGAAGGAAATTGTTCTTAGGGGTGTAAATTGCCAAGTCAGATTGAATGATTGCCAAGCTTGCACTGAACCATTTCAAGCTCGAGCTGCTAGAGGATGGATACAACCATCTCGAACCTCAAAATACGCAGTTTGAAGTTGAAAGGATATAGGCGTATTTGAGCTTCAATTTTTTGTTCAATTACAATCTTTCTTCTATACCACAATCAACAACTCCCCAATCATTATCTCAATACATAAAAATAAAAGAAATTCCATAAATAGAAATCCAAAAAGTACTTGATTAGATAGAGTACACCCAACACGATACTAACTGTAGGCATCATCTCTTTCATCTTAAAAATCTTGCACATCATACAATAATAGCGACCTTGTTTCTACTCAACTTCTCGACTCCTAGTCTCATTCATTGCTTCACTGCACCTCTTTTTAAATAAGGTTGGACTCCTACGATTAGGCAAAAAGAAAGAAATAACCTAACATGTTTTTATCAGTACACCATCATTTGCTCCTCTCTTTGCACGTCACAACAACACCATGAGCTACCTTCTCATGCCTCTCCTCACTAAATGCCTCCTTTGATGATGCAAAGTCCCTCCCAGCATCTCGCTTTCTTCACCATCTATATTCAAAATCTCTAAGACGGTAGCTCCTTTGAATTAAAGAAGAGTAGCCATACATTCTAAGATTTTTATTCTTATTAGTAGTAGCTGATAAGAAGATAATTAGTTTTGGTCTTTGTTCTACTATGGTTGATTGAAAAAATTGCTAGACCTTGGTTGGTTACACTGATGGTGTTATATTTTTGAAACCGAAACATGAGATGTTCAAATATAGCACCATGTCAAGCTCAAGCCTTAAATATTTGGCTCACTCAAGCTCGGGCCAGCTAAATTTTTCTTGGCTTTTCTTTTTTTCTGACTCGGCTCAGCTTGTTTACACCTCCAGATGGGAAATCCTGGTCAAATTCCCTACACCAATGATTTTGTAGCATTTAGCATTTCTCAAACTAACTGCCACAATATTCAGCAATATACATTTATTTTCCTTCCATTGTCGCTTCTTTTGGCTGCACAGCATCAATGATTCCGGTCTATATATAGATCCTCGCTCAAAGACCTCTATGCTCATGAGACCAAAATTTTCTTACATTGCTCATTGGCACTGGGAATTGTGGTCAACATTCCTTTGGCCATGTGGTGTTAAGTGGAAAGGCCACTCTCTGTAATAGTTTGTAAGCTATTGGGTAGAAGAGGGTAACGAAGAACGAAAGAGGCAACTCCAGTGAGCTAGAGCAGTATTAAAATAAAGAATGACCAGGCGAGGGTAAGGAAGATTAAAGGTCAAGTTTCAGGCGCAACTTCAGTAAGATATAGAGGTTGCAATTGAACCATGCAAGGAAAATTAAATAAAAGAATGTTATTCATGTATTAAAATGTGAAAACGTGCAAGAAGGACGTGCCTCAACAAATCATAACAAAATCAAATCAAATTGATTCACCTCGTCCACTCCAGGAAATTTTAGTCCCAGTTCAGCAGCTTGTTGTGGTGTACTAGCGAGGTAAACAGAGGCCCAATCTTTGCTGCCAAATGAAATGGTACCCATGGATGATGACGAGTTATCAGAACATAATTTGCTGAAAGAGCCCCAATCAACATCACTGCTCCCTCCCTGCGTCTCACTGCCATCATTTCCAGCAAGTTTTTTTGCCAAGAAACCACTGGCACCCTCCTCCAAAACTTTTCCATGCCGCCTGCCCAAAAAAGACAGTGGCCGAAGTCAGAACACACGACTTGTTTACCATTGAGTTAGTAATAATACTAAGATAGGTAGAGTCACTTGCCTTCTTACAGGCCTGTGGATCTGAAGATACTTCTCAGCGTCAGCAATTGCTCCAGTGATGTCATTTGTCAATTCAGAACCAACCCACTGAGTCCTGTTTTTCCATGCTTCAGTGCAGCAACCATTAGGAGCCTGACTCTCTATCCACTTATAGAGACTAGGGAGTTCAATACCAGCACCATCCAGTTGCTCCTAATAATATCAGCATGTGAACAAAACTAAGCAGAAACCTGAATGAAGAGCTCCAAACATCATAAATAATAAAAAGTAGGGAACTTAGAACCAAGATTTGGATTCAGCAGAAGCGACACTAGGTGAACTCTTCCTATTTGCCTAAGCATTGTAGACAATGTTACTTGATACCTATGTTGGTGGGAGGTACAGGTACCTAGTGTATTAGTAAATGTTAGGCACTTTGGTCCAAATACTGGCACTATAACAATAATAACAACAATAATAATAATAATAATAATAATTATAGTAGTAGACGTAGTAGTAGTAGTAGAAATAGTAGTGGTGATAAAAAATTATTACTATAAAATTACTGCTAGGTCCCCCTATCAACTTCACTAAAAGCAAACGATATCCTTTAATGCTCTTGTTTCCGTGTTCTTTACCCGTTGCCCAATACATAATTGCTGTAAACTAAATGTCTTAAGCATGCTATTATCAGAACTAGCATGAAAAGATATTCATTTGTGTTCATTCAGATATTCCAGTTTGAAAACAAAGCGGGTAAAGCTCCTTTTACGCCTGTAGTCATCCTTCAGTGTTGATTTAATTCATAACGAGAAAATCAACAAACCCATTTAACAGAAAAGCAGTAAAGCAATTACCAACAAATGAGCACTCTCAGTCTCCAGTTCATCAAGAACATTT